CTGCTACAATTAATAATTGTCCCAGTAAATGCCCAAACCCTACAGAACTGGTGCCTTCAGAGAGCACACTACAACACACATAATCCAAAGTGTTCTGACAACCTTTATTACAGTCTGGTATGAGAACTTTGGATAACTACTTAAAAGGCAAACTGGAAAGGATTGTGTCCAAAGCTGCAAAAGTGTTTGCTGTGGACTTCCTTCTATTTAATCTTTCCACCAAGAAAATCATCTCAGACCCCTCTCACCCAGCCCATAATCTCTTTCAGCTTCTCCCATCTGAAACACATTTCAGATCCTTCCTCACAAGGACTGCCCACTTCAACCTCAGCCTCTTTCCCACTCCCATATGAACTCTGAATTCACGTTGAACTCTGAATTCCACTGTATAATGATGCTGCTACATGGAAAGCTGTTTACATATGTATGTGACGATGTTTGTCTGTCTTCTGTTTTATTTAAATCTGTACTGTATATGTTGTATGTCTCATCTGTGTTCTTTCCTGTACCGAAAGCAAATTCCATTGAATTCTGTTGTGTGGCACTAAAGAATAAAGAAAGAATTAAGAAAGAAAGAAAGCATTATGTTTTAAGTGAGATGAATAGCTCAGGTTATGTGCTGAGCTGTCACTCAGGTTGTTGAAGCTTTAAGCTGAGCTGCACAAAAGTAAGACTGTAGATTTGGGAGAGTTTGAGTGTTGTAGGTTTTACCTGAGATTTTCTTCCCTCCCAAATAAATCTAGACTGAAGTTTGCCCTGAAATTTTACTTTATCTGACATTAAAGAGATACGTTTTTACTGTCAGCTTATTGACAAAGCAGGCAGTGTAGCATTTGAAAACCATCAACATCACTTTCAATAAACAATTATCCAATTCAGGGTCACAGTTACCCAGAGACTGTCCCAGGAAGCGCTGGACACAAGGCAGGATTGAACCCTGGACAGGATGCCAGTCTATCAAAGGGGACACACTCACACCAGTGCCAGCTTTCCCAGAAGCCTATTAACCTGCCAGCACATTAGTGGACTGTGGGAGAAAACTGGAACACAACACAAACATGGGGAGAACATACAAACTCCACATAGAAAGCACCCCAGGTCTGGAATTGAACCCAGGGCCCCAGTGTGATACTGTATCTCCTGCAGTGAGCTGATGGAAGCAGTAATCTGGAGACTGAATCCAGGCGCAGGCTCAACTGGACGCAAGCAGGGGAGGCAGGAGAAAGTGAAACTAGAGACACGATCGAAAAGGCAGGGTTGAGCTGAGAGGAACTGATTAAAGTACCAGGGAGAGTCTGAGGGAGAGTCATTTAACATGCAGGGTTCAAAGCACAGAGATCAGTCCAAGACGTGGTCAAATGGGCAAGGTCAAAGCACAGAGAGAGAGGAGAAAACACTGGGGACACTCAATGTTTGAAAGAAGTAAATATGACTCTAAAATGAGAGATTAACAAATAGATAAGTTTCACATACCTAACTTACTTCTAGAGCTACATCCTTTCAGATGTACAGTATGTACAATATTACAAAACAGAGGAGGAATACTCATGAGTTAAAAGTAAGATGCAAATGAGAAAAGGAGGTTGGCACTTCCAGAGCAATTGAAGAACCTAAAACCATTCAAATCCACCAATTCACATTCATGGAGAGAATATGAGTAAAAAATTCATATTCAATATTGGAAGAAACATAAACTGCTAAAAAAATGGCTGGGAACACCTGCCATATCCTAAACATTTTTGGTATGAAAATAAATTGGGGAAATATTCCGAAAAACAAATATTAAAAAAAATATTTTTCTTCTGGCACAAACACCAGATGAGCTGCCTTCAGAGGCAGAAAGATACTTGTTTAGAACTGTCAGAACCGCAGCCATGAAATAAATCACTAGAAACTGGTTAAAGCTGGAAAGACCTTGTGTTCAAATGAAGAAGGACTCTATGAATTAAGTCACATGAAGAATATTACCCACAGAATTCTAAACCAAAAACAACATATATATGTGTATGTAAAAAAGATGGGCAGAATAGGAAAGATTGCATATTGAATCTCTCAGTAATGAGATATTAAGAAATACCAATAGTTCCAAACAAGAACTTGGATAAAATTGCACAGCAGTTTTTTTTGTATATGCCTGGCTTCTTTTTTATTTTGTATTTCTTAGGTGTGGATGTATGTGAAAAAGGCAAAAAGGATACTTAAATAAAACAATAAAATACAAAGAAATCGCCAGTGTTCACTTACCTCAGTGCTGTTAATTTACAGTTGGGATTCGTCAGAGCTGCAGACAACAGTTTCACTCCTGAATCCCCTAGGCTATTGTCACTCAGATCCACCTCTCTCAGGCTGGAGTGTTGAGACTGAAGAGCAGAGGCCAGATCTTCACAACATCTCTTTGTTAGTTCACACCATTTCATCCTGCAGACAAAAAGACAGGAGCAAAGCTGAACATCTGCACAGCTCATCCACATCTTTCTGTCCAAGTCTTCACTACAACACCCAGCTCAGCAGTAATATACAACATCATGTCATTCTCCATCTCAGAGTGTCCATGGATGAGGATGATGAAGATAACAGCTGCTTCAAATTTTGTGTTCCAGAAGGAAGAGGAAAGATGAGAAGAAACTGTCAGGAAGGGAGACAGTGGTGAAACAGGGAGACACATGGAGCTTCAATGAAAAGGGAAACAGAAAGAAAGACTTTGACTTTTAACCATAATAAAAAATGCTTTACATTTATTATTATATTTTTATTATGACATCATCTTCTTACAGTTGTAACATTGGGTTTATTGTTGTTGTTGTTGTTTTTCTTCAAATCGTTTATTAATCCCAAATGTAAATTAAGTAAGTCAACTGGAGACTTTTTATTGTTATTTGTACATATGCTGAGAAAAACAATTCCATTTGAAGACAATAAACCATTTGAAGAAAAAAGCAGGGTTTTTATAACACATAAAATAATAAAAATAAAAATAATACATCATATTAATAATATGAAAAAATAACTAGCATACACACTACCCCAATATACTGTACGAAACCCCCTAAAAAAGAAACGAAATAGAAAATGATCATGAAATTAAACAAACCGCACCCCTCCCACAAATATACAACATGGTACACTTTTTACACATGAAAGACTCTACACAGACTCTCACATGTAACATAGTCAAAACACACCGACACCCTCAAACAAGAATCTTTACAGTTTTACTAGAGGAATTCTAGTGATTTCCTTCTCTTCACCAACCCCTCAAACACTTTCCTCCTCGACAGACCCTCCACATGAGACTGTGTTAATCCTGCTCTTGTAGAAGAGGAGTTGGGTCTGACCCAGCGAAAAGTGCACTGGGTACAATTCTCTTCTTATTGACACAACTCACCCTGAACACAACAGCAGGGTTGCTGAAGGCCAGACTAAGGTTGGAGAAGAGACTCAACATTGGAGTCAGACAGGAACAGGTGCTATAGCAGTGAAAGTGTGCTAGTGTCACAGCACAGAAGTGTAACCATAACCAGAGATATAACATTAAATTCATACAGTATATGATACATGAGATGACCTAGGTTCTTAATGTGACCAATGTTTTGGCCCACTTCAGTCAATTGCACAAAAAACAAAACTTTTAATAGGCTGGGCAAACGATTTTTAATTTTTTTAAAAAAGAAATAAAAAATGAGATATAATTATGTGTTCCGGCTTAACTTAGACATTGCACGACTTTAAAACCTATAAAAACAGGTTTCTAGAGTTAAAAACCACTTTTTATGCGCAAAAAATGGGTGATTTTTCTTCCTCGTGATCAGCTCAGAATCTTTGTGTACGCTGTAAGGTTTTTACTTCTTAATTAAACGTTTAAAATACACAAATTTCATCAAGACAACACAAGATTCGAAGAGAAAAAATCCCATTCTTTTCTCTTCCTGTTGTGTAAAACTGATCAGCAGGTCTTTTTTTCCCAATCAGAGGCTTTGAAAATATCGTACCGCCCACAGCGCTCTGTCAGAAAGACGGAGGAGGCGCAAAGCTCAGCAGTACAGAACGCGCATTCTGCTGCCTGGAGCGCTTATGGCAGCAAG